AATAATTTTTATATTTGATAATTCAACAATCACTTTTACCAAAAATTTTTAAAAAAACTTTTTACTAAAAAAAATATAAACGGCCATATTAGTCTATAAGCTATGAGAAAAGAGACCTTAAGACAGCAACTATTGTTTAGAGATAGTTCTCATACACTATTTGCTAATTTTTTTTAGAGATAGTTCTCATATGCTATCTGCTGACAAGTTTAAAGTTTATTACTTATCAAAAAAACTCAGTATTGTGTATATTCCAGTGTGGACTATAGTTGATTCTAGTAAAAGAAACTTATACTCTTTTATTTTGTATACAAGTAGTTTTTTTCTTTACTTCACCTCTTTGCTATTCTTACAAAAATTTTGACAAAAAGTATATATAACGTTAAAATCGACCTAGTAGATCATGAAATATAAGTATTTTAGTCTTTATAACTATATATCTTCTTCTTTATTTATATAAAAAAGAAAACATATAATCATGAAGACAAAAATATTTATATCTTACGATCTACTAAGCCAATTTTAATAGTTTAATTGTCATTCTAATTGCAAAACACTCTTCTACAACTTTTATTAGAAGTTAAAAATAGGTTTACTTAATAAAGAAAAAAGGGTTTATTGAAAAACTCCAAATTCGAAAATTTTAAAAACAAAAAAAAAAAATTTAGTAAATATATTTTTACTGTTTTTTATGTTTTGTTACTGAACATAAGCCTGACTTAAAGATTCAATACTGAACCTGAACTGACATGAATCTAACTTAAAAGTTTAATACTGAACCTAAACTGAATATGAACTTGATTTAAAAGTTCAATACTGAACCTGATTGAACTAAACCTAAACCTAAACTTGACCAAAGTTTAGGTTTATAGAAATATTATTTCATATTAATTGTTTATCTAAAATTCATTATTTGATTGGATATTAATTATGTGATCTTAACTGAACCCTGTTATTTGACACTATTGGACTGGACTATATCTAATTATATGTCCAATATCCATGTCTAGTTCAATAGCATAAAAATGATTATTCTCTTTTTGGTCTTTAATTTTGACTTTGGCTACTAAAAATAAATCATCTAAATTAATTAAAGAATAATCTGACCCATTTTTTTCTTTTAAAAAAATTATTAAATGAGCCTGTGAATTAGTATTGATAATTTTTTCTTGGCATGTTTGTTCTAGGGCTTGGTGGACATTCTGCTGCAACATATGTCCAAGCCCAACATTGCTTTCAGCATTATGTGATGAATTCTCTAGTATTTGTCTTTGGGCATTTTTGGTGTTATGTGAATTCTGTATATTTTTAGTATTGTATAGTGAATTCTCTAGTGTATTCTTGGCAATTTTTGATGTTTTTATTTGTTTTTGTTTTTGCAGTATTTTTTGATAGTATTTTTTAGTAATCAATAAAAAATAATACTTTTTAATAAATTTTAAAAAACTTAACTTTTTTTTGTATAATTAAGTTTGATTGGCCGATTTTTTACATTTAGAAAGTTGGGTTAGATTTTGGGCTACACAAAATTTCCGACTTGCTGATGATCTGAAAAACAGGTTATGTGATCTCTACTCGTTTTTATTGGCTAATAAGCCAGAGATATATAAGTTATATATTTCTGGTCAGAGATATTTAGAAAAACCCATTTCGAAAAAGTAAACAATCTAAAAATAAAACTAATATTTAATTATAAAATTAATAGTATAGTATATATTAGTATTGATTTGTATACAATTACAATTAGCTATTAAAAATTATATTTAATTGATAATCCATTTGTCACCTAGAGGGGATCTGCAAAATTTTATAAGTAAAATTTACTATTGGCCCAAATGTGGCTTGCATGCATCTAAAACTTTTTTTATACTAAGTTAATCACTTTTCTAACTTAAGAGACTTTTGTAAAGCTTGTCAAGGCATATCTAATGGTAGTTAGAGCATCAAAATCGACTTGGTAGGTGCTGAGATATGGGGTCTTTGCCTTGAAAATTAAGTATGAGACATATGATTTACTATGTTCCGTAACTTGATTTTCAAGGCAAAAACCCTATAACTTTAAAAAATGTTTCTTTTACTATATAAACTTCTTTGCAAACAATAGTATTGTTTGCAAATAAGTTTATATAGTAAAGGAAATGTTTTTTAAAGATATCTTAGCACCCACCAAGCCAATTTTGATACTCTAACCACCATTAGATGCACCTTGACAAGCTTTACAAAAGTCTCTTAAGGTAGAAAAATGATTAACTTAGTATAAAAAAAGTTTTAAATGCGTGCATACCACATTTGGACCAATAGTAAATTTTACTTATAAAATTTTGCAAATTCTCTCCAGGTAACAAATGGATTATCAATTAAATTATTTATTTTGTAATAATTAATATCTTAATTTCATAAGTATATTAGATTTTGCAATAATTTATTATAAGCATTATTGTAAAATTTTATTTATATATATAATTTACTAAAGAATATAATATAATTAGAACAAAAACTCTATAAATAGATTAATTTATTTAGCTAGATAGGATGTTTAAAATTTCTTTAAAATATGTATAAATGCGAGAAGAAATTTCAAGAAGGTATTATATTTGTATAAAAGATTTGAATTGTAACTATAATAATAATCAAAAACTACTTTAAAAGTATATTTTATACCTTTCTCTTTTTAGTTTAATCAAGATCTAACTAAAATAGCATTATGTTAAAACCTGTGGTATAAAGTAGCATATATACTAATATAATAGCACAATGCTTTAATATAATATAATATCTCTACTAACTAAAGTGTACAAAAGCAAAACATATATTTTTAATCTATATTATTTAATCTATTAATTTTAAATAGCAGCTACAATTATTATATGTTGCTCTTCTAAACCAGCTTTTATACTATGATCATACTATATTTCTAATATCAAGATATGCTAGAATTAATCCGGTCGGATCTAGCAACACAGCCATTAATTCTAATTACCATATCTTACCATAAATAAGCACTCACTCTTTTCAATTTTTATATCCAAGTTTCTCATAATCTAATAAACAGATTTGTATAATTTTGGTATTATTCGAATCAGCATATTGAAACAATTCGAATGGTATCAAAATTGTACAGATCTGATCACTAGATCATAAGAAACTTAGATATGAAAATTGAAAAAGGCGAATGCTTATTCGTGTCAGGATACAGTAGGTATGCAGATAAACTAATTTTGCATAATGATAAGCTAGTATATAAAATTGGATAAGCAATTTTAATTAATTATCTATTCAGAACAATTATCTAATGCTAATCATTAATAATAGCTTATTGTTAAAAGCAAACATAAAAAATTAGCACAATAATCAAGTCTAATTAATTATTTATTCAGAACTATCTAACACTAATTATTAATAATAGTTTATTGTTAAAGGCTAACATAAAAAATTAGCACAATAATCAAGTCTAATTAATTATCTATTCAGAACAATTATCTAACACTAATTATTAATAATAGCTTATTGTTAAAGGAAAACATAAAAAATTAGTGCAATAATCAAGTCTAATTAATTATCAAACCAATTATTTAATGCTAATTATTAATAATAGCTTATTGTTAAAGGCAAACATTAAAAATTAGCACAATAATCAAGTTTCATTTCTTACCTTTCCAATCCATATATAGCTCTTTATTTTAATAAGTTTAATAAAATATCTAGCATTATTAGCTAAATGCGCCAAAATTGACTATATATATATTACACTTACAATTTATATCAATTATCTAGTTATATCAATTATCTATTTATATTGATTATCTATTTTTATTAATTATCTATCTTCAAATTTTACCAATTAAAAAATGTCTCAAGCAATTCTTAATAAGCAACAACATTAAACCAGTATTAAGATAATACGATAATAATACTATATAGTATTATGGATACCACTATACAGATAATAAGACTTAATATAATGTCTACTAATAACAATAATTATGAATTTTTATTAAACCTAAAAAATCTATACTAGTTGTGGATTGTATTAATACTTTACTTTCAAAATTCTTTGTATTTGTTTAGCAGAAGAACTGCACATATATAACAATGTTCAGATTATTAAAATAACCATATATTAGTTAACTTACATACCTTACATGTAAGCTACATGGGTATAACTTACCTTACATTAAAAAATCAAAAATTTATGTAAATTTACAACCCTAGTCATTACCACAACATACTTACGTGTCATGAAATGTGTCACGAATTATAATCAAAAATCATTGGCGCCACAATAAATAACCACGTTTGAAATTTCAGTCAGTACAAGAAATGAAAAATTGAACGCAGTAAACTCACATGAGACAAATCTATTTGTCAAAAATAAACAAAGCAAAATAATTTGCAAATATTTACTTAAAAAAATACGAAGCCCTATATTTTTTTCTCCATAAATACAACACGAATTCGATAAAAAAATTTTGGGGAACGGTGCCAGAACGCTCAACACTAGTATATAAAAATGTTGGAATAAACAATTTCCTTTTTGGATAAAATGGGCAATGTGACGGCTCACGAAATTCGTAAGCTTAAACAAACAAACTTAGAAATAACTAGAATTACCCGAAAATAAACATCAAGTAAAATATTAATGTCGTTAAAATAATAATAATAATAACGATAAAGTAACAAAATTTTTAAATAAATAAATAAAAACTAATTATATATAAGGTTGTATAAAGTAATTTTTGTTATAAATTTAAAAAAAAAAGTAATCTAGCACCTGGCTTTAATTTTATTTTGGTTTGATTTTTAACCCGGATAATAAACATACTTAAAACTTTTCTTTTAGGTTTACCAAAATTTGACTTGGCCGGGTTATAAGAACCAAAAATTATGAGTATATGAAATTTTTTTAAATTAAAGATTTTTTTTGCCATGGTTATACGCATCTGTATATTGGATCAACAGAAACCTCAAGAATCATTTGATTACTATAAAAAAAGTGCGATTTACATCCATTCTTGATAACCCTGACTGGATTCAGGAATATCAGATGGATTATATCCACCTTTCCATTGTGTAATAGGCACTGGAAAAACGCTATATGAAGTGATCTCTTTATTCTTAATTCTTGTAAGAATAGCAAAATCAATTGGACCTTGTGGTATCATAGGATCAAGTTTTTCCACCAACTTGCGGGCACCCCAATACGAAACGGCATAAGCGTGTGTACAACTTGGCATCACTGATTCATATAGTCTATTGGCAAAAGAACTATTATCGACAAGTTTACCTATTTTTTCAAGACAATGAACAATATACAAAATATCCCAATAAGCGGGTAAATTACGATGAATATCTGTCATAATTTCAGTGATATTAGTTTCAAAATCAACGTCATCTTCTAGAATTAAAGCACTATGGAAGCCTTTATCAATTATTGATTTATAAATCGTATAATGACTGATACCGTACCGTTCCGAAATTAAGCACCCCCCGAAATTAAGCACCATAAAATTTAGCACAATACCCAAAAATAAGCACCTCCTAAGTATAATCGTATCTGATTTTTTTCAAGGTAAGTCTACCTTCTGTCTCTAAGTAAAGTTATTCTCCAGGCCAAGACGATTCTAACGGTGGTAAAATTATCAAAAATGGTCCGATAGATCATTCGCAATTACTTCTCAAAGTTCTGGCGATATTTCGGTTTTTCTTTTTTTATATGATCTCTAATGTAAGCGAAATGTAAACAAACGTCGCCCGAACTTTGAAGATAAATTGTAAATGTTCACTGGACCAATTTTGATGATTTTACCACTGTTAGAATAGTCTTGGCCCGGTGAATAGCTTTATTTACAAACAGAAGGTAGATTTACTTAGTACAAAAATCCCCTATAATTAATTCTTAAAATAATATCCGAAAATAAGCACTCCTAATAACAAAAAAAGGGTGCTTAATTTCGGAACGGTACGGTATAACAAGCTCTTCTGCCAGAAGATAATCCACCAAAACCATATTTTCGAAAAAAGCTACTGTCATATTTGGAAGGGGCACTAAGATAATCAAAATCTAAATCAAAATAAGAAGCCAATTTCCTCATTCTATCACGCCTATCAGTTCGAAAATTAAGATTAATGACATATATATGATCGAAGCCAAATGTTCGATTCGAAGGTTTAACCTCCTTAATATCTTCTTATAAATTATTGGAAAATTCGAATAAAGAAGAGATTAGATAGCTTATATAGATTAAAATTATAATCAAGAAGCTAATAAATTTCTTGCTGGGTTTACTCTTGTCATGGTTTAAATAAAAGGTTGATAGTAAAGAGAACGCTTTCATTTATTATAAAATAAATCACCATAAATAGCTGTTTGAATAATTATTTAAATAACAATAAAGAATTATTAGAATGATAATTATTTATCACCCAACCATAAAATGCTGTTAAAATGATCATTTAACACTAACAATAAAGAGCTTTTAGAATGATTTTTTGCTTTATTTAATTATTTTATTTTCACGCTACAGTTCTGTTGTATCATCGAATAATTGAAATCAATGATTTGTTTAATAACTTAGATACGAGGTTAAATTTAGGGCTTAGACAACGATAATAAATTTAAAAATTTTATATCAAAAATTCCCAATCTGGAAATCAGATGATCTACTCTTTAAAGTATATACAATAATAATTTTTACGATATTACCAGAATAAGGATTCATATTATGTAAGTAATATTTTTTTTTAAATGTGAAAGGTGATTTATAGAACAAATTTTAATAAAGATCAGGTTGAACTGGAGCATCTTAAAATAACGCGCAATCGTATAAATTTTCTATTTTTGATCGTTCTGGGCCTAATGCATAATTCGATTATTAATCAACCCATAACATTTTTAAAATTAGTTAATGCTATACATTTTTGCTTATCTTTATAAAACAAAATTTATATTCATTTAATTGCTCTATAATTTTATTTTTATATCGTCTTTATGCACAAAAAAAGTTTATTGGCTTTACTAAATCACACCGCTGGTATTTAATACAAGTTCCGGAAAATTGGTCTGGCAAGCTTAGAACCAATCAAAATTTTATTAATAAAATACGTAAATTACTTTATTACAATTTCTTTTTTTATAACATTGACAGAAGTTTATAGTCTAACAACCCGGAAAATTTTTTGTATATATCACTACTGGATGTTGTGTAGAATTTGCATAAATTAAAGGTGTAATACCTAATATTTAATAATAAAATCAGTGTTGAAATTTTAAACTGACGTTAATTATAATCTGGCTGAAGATGAGTTGGTTTCATCTTTAGAAATTTCAAATATCATTTAAATGCTTTTTTTTCATCACTGGATGTGCCTTCGCATTATTCGTAGTAGAATCCGAAATTACAGTTTCCATTTGAATTTCCGTTTAAGCGGATTTCAAATATCACTCAAATGCTCTTTTTTGACGCTTTATTTCTAGAAGAATCAATATACATCGAATTGTTGCTTTAACATATTTCAAATACTTCTCAAATGCGGAATCAAGATTACATTTCCCACTTGAATTGCCACCTCAGAAGATTTCTAAGACGTCTCAATTTCATCGTTAGATGCACTTAAACTTTATTTATTACCCACATGAAATTCTAGATTTTGGGTAAATCTATATTATACAAATGTACCATGTAAACATGTATAATGATTAAAATTTAATAAAGTACGACACGCGTTCCTCATAACAGATAATTACATAATCATATAGGCTAAAAAAAAGAACCTTTTAATAAAGTACGACACGCGTTCCTCATAACAGATAATTACATAATCATATAGGCTAAAAAAAAGAACCTTTTAAATGTCATTGGATGTGCCTACACTTTATTCATTGCCCACTTGAATTTCCGCTTCGGCAGATCTCAAAAATTTTTTTTTACGTTAGATGCCTATTTTATTATAGGCTCTGTAAAAAATAATAATATTAGCAAGTATGGTAGTGTTACACGATATTTCAATTTTACAAAATTGAGTTATCATAATTCGATGCCACTTTTTGAAATAACATGATCTAAAATTATCCGGTTGTCGATCTCTGCTGCAGAGTCATAGAAAAGGATTCGTGTGATTGGCTAGCAAATGTCGATCATACAGGTTATACTAATACCGTAAATTGCTGCATAAACCACCCGGTGTGATGCGATTTTTCACATAGTGAAAAATTAAAAATCACATGTATTACACAATTGTTTATATCACATGTCG